CATCGTCGCGGTGGCAAACGACCGGGATATCGAGGGCGAATAAAACCGTTCGCTGGTCACTATCCCCAGGAAGTCGCACGCGTTCCGACTACTCGAAACACTATTTCGACCTCCATTTCGCGACCCGTTTTTCTCGTTTATATTTTTTCCTCTTTTTGACACGGTTAAATAAGTTCTATATTGCGAATCGAGGTCGTCGTAACGCGATGAAAAAGAATTGAACGAGCAAGTCGAGTTTGATCTTCCGCTCTCCACTCGAAACATTGAGCTGCTCGTGACAGTTGTTCCGCGGCACGAGTACACATCAAAATTTCATTCCTTTTTCCCTTTTTACCGTTTGCAATACCGTACTGTCGTGGTGTTTCCATTACCTGCATATAATTGAATAAACGGTTTCCATTGGAACATCAAACGTTCTGAGGACAAGCTTCGAGGTGGATATTATAGTAATTGGGGATATATTGCAAGGATGTGGGGACGTATGGGTACGTGGGAGTATAAGGGATTAGAGGTACAGGGATGCGGCATAGGGCTATGAATATGTGGGGACAAGGATATATAGACTTGAATATACATATAAGGATGTGGAGGCATAGAAATATGGGGATATAGGGGTGTGAGGATATAGGGACATGGAGATATAAAGACAGGGAGATATAAGGACACTCACATACACATATGTGAGGACAGGAATACGGGGATATGGAGAGACATAGGGACACAAGCATATGGGGATATAATGGGAGTTATGTTGTAGTAGTGTAGCAGTGATATAAAGGAATAGAATAGTGCTATAATACTATTGTGAAATAATAGGATAGTAGTACAATGTTGATAGTAAATAGTAATAATAGTAATGTACAAGTAGATAGTAATAATAGCAATGTATAAATAGATAGTAATAGTAGTAATGTACAAGTAGATAGTAATAATAGTAATGTATAAATAGATAGTAATAGTAGTAACGTATAAGCAGATAGTAATAGTAGTAATGTATAAGCAGACAGCAGTATAATCTTCTATTGTACCAATAGAAGTACAGTATGCTTAAATATGAGCAGCCTAGGACTTCGCTTTCCAATAAATCTCCACCCACGACAAAGAAATACAGTACATGCAGGGTATATATCAAAGTTATTAATATTATAACACAAGTTACGAAGGACATATCTGTTTTTTACGTTAACTAGGGTTGACAAGAATCGAGTACTTGTTGCGTAATTCTTAACAGGTAACAGTTTCGGTAGAATTCATAGGGGATGTTTGGCCCGTTGTCAACGATATATCATAGTTAACTCGATACAACTGCCATATAAATTTCGCCGTTGCATATCGTATAACCTGCACCGTCGATTTAGTTGTTAGGTAGCGCAATGTATCTAGGGGGTCGTTCGTGTTCATCTCGCCGATAGTTTCCAGAACCGTTTGCACCGCGGGGTAATTCCACGGACATGAAACAAGGGTCGTGGAAGCCGGTCGTTCGCGGGACGATAATGTTTCGGAAAGCGGAGAAACGATCCGATGGTCGAGCAAACGATAACGTAGCGGCCGGTGATAATTGAATCTCGTTCACGGGGGATGGTTGTTCTCGCAACGAGATATTCGGAGGATGCCGAGAGCGTCGTGATCGGTGAAAGGAATTTTCGGATCGGTAAATCCGGGAAACACGTTTAGTCCGGGTCAGAAATGTTTACCGATGCATTTCGAACGTTTTTCATCGGGCCCCGCGCAAATCCCTGCGCTCCGTGTAACGGCATTAATCAGGGGGATTCGCGTGATTTTAATTAAAAACCGCGTGGCCCGCGAACGGTCGTGAAACAAATTTAATTAATTTTTCAGCGGGTCGGGGGGCATTTTCAGCGTGGCATCGATCCGTCTCGAGGACGAATTCCCGCGGCTCGTTATTTATCTAGGACGGTGCGCGTCCTACGCGCGATCGAACGCGGATTTCTGTATTAACGAACACAATCGCGGTCGACGAACGAACGGTGAATTAGCGGCGAAGCCAGGCCGCCGCAAAATTGTTCGCGGTGTCGCGAATCAGCCGTCGCATTAACGCCGCATCATCGATATCCACTGGTCAGTTCGATCTTTATTACGTCATCGATTCGACGGGCTCCGCGATGAAATCAGAACCCGGGCAATTTTCATCACGGTCACGTTTCTGCTCTCTGCTCGAGCGTTTTCTCGCTGGATATGTGCCGACGATTATGAGAGTGGTCTGAGGCAACACTCCGAGAGAACTGAACCTTTCGCTATTTATGTGATCCACTACCGATCAAAACGTGAAATTTGTAATCGCATGATTACCTCTCGATTCAGCTATTTTTTAAAAATTCTCCTTTAATAAAATTAATTAATACAGTACAAAAGTGAAAGGTTTAATTCCTTTGGAATTTTGACCGCTTTCATAACTACCGATGAATACATATGATGAATATATATTAATCAAAAGATTTGTTTAATTAACCCTTTCTGTCAGGAAAAGATCAATGCGAAGCGCTTTTCAGCAATGACACATTCTTTGATAAATACTGCAATTCTAATTTGTTATATAGAAAAAAGTCTTTGTCCGTTTCCTATTGTTCTTCGAACAATATTACGAACCGTACTATTAAATGAAATTCCCGCAACCTTTATGAAATACTTTTGTTGTTTCCTGTATTGACTTCAAATAAATTGATGACAAATAAAATTGTTTATTTTTAATGAAATATGTCATAGGTTCGAGCTAACGATGCCATTTTTGCGTCTAAACTCCGATCTTTCACGAAAGCATTGTGAGTACATTCAGTCTGACAAATATCAATTTTACATCCCGTCTCGTAGCTCCTTTATTTAATCAAGCTTCCTCACAAAGGAAGTCATAAAACATGGGGTTAAACTGATTAACAAGTAACTTTTATCCAACTCATTGTCGAGCATGAAACGCATCTCGTCCGAAAAAGAGTAGGTAATAATCCCGACGTTTTAAAAGTATCCGTAAAATATAACCGTGGAAACATCTTGACATTTTCCGGTGTCGAAGAAATACACAGACGTCGGCTCTGTATTTCCTGATTACTCGCCGCGTAAATTGATTTCGTTCACGAATTACGGGTCACAGACCGCAGCTTTTTAATCGATCATCCCCGATAATTCGATTCCGCCGCGAAAGATTGGTAACCCTGGAACAGCATTAACTCCACCGAATCGTCTTTCTCGTCGCGAGATCGCGGCTCGGCTCGATAATTTGATGCCGGTTGCCACGCGGCACCGTGTACGCTTTTCAGCGGAATTAATGATACCATTATTCGAACATCATCGCGTCTACGGTGAATTGAAAGGGAGTCGCCACCGCCATTTTGCCATTTCAAACACCGACACGCACGCACACGAGTCGCGCGATAACGCCGTTGCCAAAGCAAACGGACAAAGAGCGGAGAGAATGGGGGGCTGCTGCGGTCCGCTTTTGCCCGCTCGCGGACTCTTTTAACTCGCGCCATTTTTTTTTTCGACGATGCACGAGGCCGCAGCACGCTCAAAGATCCGTTTTTCCCTCTTTCACGATATTCCAACAACGGCACCGCAGCTGTTTCAACCTCCAAGCGAATCCGAACTCGGTCAAGCTGCCATTTCGGCGAATCGCTTCTGGTTTAAAAGCGGCCTGTTATCGTTTTCGTGCCTAGAAAATGTCCGAAAGCATTACCAGTTCTTCTACCTCGCCTAGAATGCCAGATTTTTCTGGGGAAAATGGCGGTGACTCGGTTTTTGCCTCTTTTGCAAATTTTCGGATCTGGAAACTGCTTGCGGATTTGGGGATGTTGAAACATAGGAGTCTGAGGATCTTGCAAGTTTAAGAATTTGGGGTTCTAAGAATTCGAGGACTTAGGAAATTTGTAAATTTAAAAATGTGGAGATTCGACAATACTTGCACACTTGATTTCTCAGAAACGTAAGAGTATCGTAAGGTATCCTACACCTGTTACGGCAAAGAAAATGTACGTAGCATCCGAGTACGGCGTCCGTATATTCCCCGAGGCACTCGAAAAAGATTTTTCGTCCCCGGTATACACAGGGAACACGCAAGGTTCCCTTTTGTGAGAGTCACGCGGATAGGAAAGGACCAAAAGCTTTTGCGCGGTAATTATGTGTCCGACGTAATGCGGTTTAACGCGTTATTGCGGCCTCCAGGCTCTCGCGTTTACGTGGCCAAGCGCTTTCTTTCCGCTTTTAAATTAGTTCCTGTTTTATGGAAGGGACCGTGGGTCCTTTAGTCTCTGCTCCTTTTCGAAAACGCGATTTAATCACTGAGAATTTTCTGCATCAACTTGCCAACTTTTTCATCTAATCGAGTTCTTATCCACCATCTTTTTCACAGATAATTACCGTTCGTTAAATAATTTATTATACCGAAAATAAGGAGATAAGCGTAGTTAAAAAAAATTGGGGATTATATCTAGAGGAGATAATCTGAAATGGATTAAGTTTTCTATAGCCGTATTGAAGTAGAAATTTAAATTTAATTTGAAATTTCTCTTTCATTTCATAAATTTTAGATATTTCTTTAACACGTTCGCTACTTCACCTAGATATGAACGATACTCCAATTTCCATACGAATTCGCCGTCCACTTTATCTAACCGGGAACTCTCGTATTAATCGCTTGGAAATATAGGTAACAGAAATAACACAGTGAAAATAGAAATTTGCTACAAGGCTTCCATTTAAACTTCAGATATCAAGTTTTCGAAGCTTCATCTTCAATGACAATATCGATGTTTAATTTAACGCAAAATTTCATCCTTTGACAAGACGTTCTTCCGAAGACTCAAACACAGTTTATATCGATTAAACGTTTTCGGGGTCAAGAAACATCAAAGAGCTTTCAATCCCGTAACGCGTTTCGCTGGTAAACCTCGTTCATGTTACCAGTCGGTGAATCTTAGAGCAATCTCGCAGTTCTTAACATCCGCTCGAATCGATATTCCAAAGCAAACGAAGGAGAGAGAGAAACTTACCTCCGCAGGCGGCTTGCCAGCCACGCTGACGCACTCGATCACCAATTCTCGGTCCTCGGTCGTGATAAGGAAGTCGCCTTGAAGGATCTTCGGTTTCTGAGGAGGAACCAGGACGCTCAACTTGGCGAATCTCGAGCGCAATGCCGGTTGCCCGTCGTTCGTAGGCGACGCCTGACATTGGTAAGTGCCGTCATCCTCCAGCTCCACTGGGTAGATGTGCAACGAGAAATCACCTGGAACAACGGGACGTCGTTTATTTTCGACATGCTAATCGTCATACTTTAATACATACTCTATTCGAGTCTATTCACTCCGTCTTGATATACCACAAAATAGCGTGTATTATTTTTTAGCTAGGATTTATTTTTTTGTATAATATTAGGATGCATAAAAGATAGAACTTCCACACATTCATAAGGTCATAAATTCTATAAATCCTAAATTCCTAACACTTCGAATTCCCACATTCTTGGACAAACGTAATTTGCGAATTCCGTAGTTTGCTAATTCCTAAATTCCGTAATTCTCAGCTCGTCAACTCTTCAAATTCCCAAATTCCCACAAGCCAATTTGGCCAGGGCTGTGGTGGTCGACAGTATTGATATAGCCATGCTTGGCGCATCGCAAAGCGAGTCTATTTACTCCACTGTTTCCGTAGCTCGCAAACAGTCGTTAAAACGGGTATCCTAACGAAACAAAGGAAATGATCTGTGTGAATTTTGCTGGCAAAACGCCGCGTAACGTCTTCGGTTGTTGGGTGTAATCGAACCGTCTGGCTGGCGCGATGAATTTTTAGCGAAGCCAGGCGTCGGGGCGCGAGCTGAATTCCAAAGGTTTGGAGAGGCGATCCGCGGGAAAATTGAACGGGCCGGAGATTTTCACTTTATACGAGGCCGCGTATCGCAACGAGGAGGAACGAGAAATGGAGCAGGGATCGGGATAGAAAGCCATTTACCCCCGTTGATTGAAACTAACGGTTTACGAGCGTCTGCTCGATCGTATCGCGTCAGAACCCGTACGTAGGGAATTTCTCCGACTGACGGTTTTATTTTGAAATCTCCACATATACGTGTTAGCTGTCAGGAACAACGCGCAGCGGCTGTTGCAGCGCGAATCGACGCGAATTAGAACGGCCCGTCGCTGGCCGCGTCAGCAAACTCCTACCCCTTTTTTACCACCCCGAATCGATATATAAATTCCATTTTAACCTTCTCCGTTCCTTTTGATCAATATATTTTCCCTCGCGAAAGTCACAATATTTTCATTCGTTTTCCTCCCTCGCGCCTCTATATTCCGAATCTCAAACACCGCTGATATACAGCTCTGCCACAATGAGAAATGAAACTGATAAAATGGTCATTTGGAGAGACAATTAATAATCACGCAGAGTAATGGTCGGGGGATTAAATGTTTTTTTAAAAACACTTTTTCACTTTTATTCGTGTGATTTACTGGCTGCACTTCGACTATTCATAATTTCGCTTCTGCAATTTCAGTTTGGTTTCATCAGTTACCGCGTTTAATATACTATAAAAAATGTGATAGATCATAAATTTGTTAACGATCTTAATTTTTAGTATGTCCATGTTTGTCAGGTGCATGTTTGAATGTCAACCCGGGTTTCAGAAAATGACGAGCGCAGAGTATCGAGTCAGCATTTAAAGTTCTCGGCGAGTGTCTCCATGCGGCGATTATCGCCACCAGGAGCGACCAATCGTGTTCAAGTAAATTCGTCCTGTCGCGTGATTTATTTGCACCCTTCCGCTCTCAACTCCACATCCCGTCCTCCTCTCCATCCATCCATCTATCTATCCATCTAGACATCTATCATTCTGTCCCCCATCTATCTGCCCAATTCCCTCTACCACCCTCTTCGCGTTTCTTTCATTCCATTCATGCAACTTTCACGAACCGCTTCTCTCCGCGGCATGCACGACGAAGCAATTGTGCTTCGGCTTCAGCGAACGGTTGAAACCGAAACGAACGAACAACCGGACGATCCCGACGGACGTCGATCCGGAAACGGAGATGGGGTTGTCGTTCCGAGAGACACCGACGGGGTGGGCAGCGGAAACGGCAAATGGAAAAATGAAATCGTCTCACTGCTACGCAATGACCGATCGCCCGCGCGATAAATCGCGTTCTTGCGATCTAAACTTTCCCGTTTCTATGGACTGCGAGAGCGATTCCTTTCTTTCTATGGTGACCTAAATACCCTTAACGGCTCTTTTCATTTCGGTCAAATTCTTCTCTTTTTTCAATCTTTCAATTTCTCTTTGGATATTATTCTACGGTTCACGGTTTTTAACAAATGAAAATAGTTACAATTTCTGTAAGTTATGATGTGTGTTCGATTTAGAAGATAAACAAAAAAGGAGATCAAGCAGAACATAACCTAAACTCCTCCTTGTACAGTAATTTCATTTTTTCAAGCTGGAAGAAATATCTCAGTTACACCAAAAAAATCGTACAGTTAATTTTGTTCAACTCGAGTGAAAGTGTCCTACAGAAATCTGTTACAATCGATGATCAAGAGAACGGAAACGAAACGGTGTAAAATCAGAAACCAGAAAACATTCGTGCAACATTCCCCAGGATATAACAGCAAAGGCCTGCGTGTTCGTGGAGCAAGCAATCTTAAGGGACTCGTATTTTTCCAACCGCGGGAGTTTGAGTTTCGGGGCTGAAGCAACCCCCGAAGTTTCACCCCCCGGTGTCATCGTCGGAATTATTGAAGACGTACGAAAACTTCCAGCAAATTTTTCACAGCCCTTCCTCGTATAAAGGATGATTCATCTTTCTCATCTTTTCCATCTTCGACTATAACTCAAATGTTCTTTTAAAGCGAATACCCAACTTTCAATGTTCTCCTTTTTTTCTTTATAATTGCATGAACCTTCTCTTACGATATTAAATTAAGTCAATTTAAACACGACCTTATGCAGGTAATAATGCAGTTGTGACAGTAGAAGTTCACTGATAGGTTAAGTTAAAGATCAAGTAGGGATGATAAATAAGGGATGAGACAGTAATATAAATGTAGGTTTGTAAAATTGTAAAATTGTTTGTAAAATTGTTATTTATCTCGATACCAAGGGACAAAGACAACACTTGAATTATTTTAATAATTTGTGTAAATGAAGACTGTAAGATCCGCCATTTTGATGGCCGACTCTAAGGTCCGCCATTTTGATGACTTCCATGAATCCAGCATATATCTTGTTTGGATTAATTTTCTTCTTACAAGAAAGGTGCTATGATAGCACGTTTAATAACATTAAAGAAACATGTGACACAGTTTTGACACGACTAAAATTTAACTAGAGTTTAAAAAATGTAAGTAAAGATGAGGATCGAGTAACATGGAGTAAGTCAGTTGGAGTATTAATTCGGTCAGCAACGCTGCGCCGGCATAACTGTATGGTTTCGTACGAGCAGAGAGCCCATGGAAAGTGGATCATCTAGGTTGTAGCTCGTTTCAGGGAAACGCAAATATTCAAGGGGGTTACAGAGTTTACGAGCTTTCCCGTCGTTTTTGCATGCCGCAAACAGCAACATCCAAGGAGGCAATAAACGTCGCGTTTCGTTCCTTTTACGCGGCGCGAGCCCGTTGAAAGCCCCGCGAGATACGTATTAACGTATCGCGAAAACAAAAAGGATTTCCACAGCGCGGTTTCCCGGTTTTTCCGCCGGAGCAGGTCGCAATATCGCGGAAAATTGGATTGGAACGTATCGTCGACGCGTTATCGCAACGCAGTCGAGACTGCAACGAGAAACGAATAGAAATCGAAACGCGGTTCATTTTACTCCGTTTTCGTTTGTAAATAACTCCCGTTGTTTTCGCCGGGAATCGTGTCACGAGGACCAATTGTAAGAGCTTCTTCGTAACGCAGAAATGATTCAAGCTCGAGAGAAACTCCGACACGTAGGACAATAATTAGCGCTTCTCCAGAGTCCATTCAGGGAACTTTTGGCAACTGCGATGTTCAGGAAAACCGACGCGAGTTTCCTCGTCGTTTTGACGATCATTTGCGCGACGTACTCGCTCGCGAATCATACTTGCGAGCCCAACGAGACGAAGAACTCGCACGAACTTGCTCCACGAGCGTTAATTTCCTGCGAACTGTGACGACCACGAGCCTGACGAGAAACGTCGAATTCGTCGCCGCAGTTTGCGTCACGCGAGGCCGTGCTTTGAAGTTTATGAAATAACCAGATTGCGACGGTATTTTCTGCATTTGTCGTCACACGAATCGTCTCGGAACTTCGTGTGGAGAATTGAAGTTTTCAGACACCGAAAGGAATCGGGGACGCAGGAGTAGCAATTTTCGACGCAAAGAAAGTGCTTTCAGGTGCATCTTCCGGAACACTGCATTTCTAAATTTAGTTAATTCGCGAGTTTCCTTCATTTTCAATTTGGTAAATTTTTTAATTTCAAATTCGCGAAGGTTCAAATTTCCAAGTTGCTGAATATTAGATTTTTTACACCCTTAATTTGCAAGATGGGAATTTCTAAATTTCCTAAACTAAACTTTGCATAACCCTCAAATGAAAGGTTAAATTTCTAAATTAGCAAATAAACGTGGATCAACCGAATCTTCTGAGAAATCTGTCTTTCCAAGAAGCCGTTTTGGAAATTTTCCTCCGAGCTTCCGAACAAAGCGTGGGCGAGATAAAAGGAGTGCACAACTCTTTACAGCGGAAAACAGCAGGGAAGAGCTGCAAGGACTAACTGGATGCGACGAAACAATGCATCACTAACAATTAGTTAGTCCCAGCTCAGTCGGTGATATTACAAACGGCCATAATTAATTTTAATTACACGGTACAGGTAACGAGCACTCCACTACCTACAACTATGATTAATTACGCTTTGTCAGGCTTGAAGGCATAGATCGTTGGTGGATCTGTTTGAGTTTCGCCTATGTGTCTTAATAGTTCACTCGTCTTGCTGTCAACGCCATTTCATAGCTTATTCTCTACTTTACAGATGGCGTTCATTGTCCGACAAGAGCTGCTCTTAAACCATTTCGCTATATCGCATTACTGAGGCTACTTCGGATAGAAGTACCTCTAAAAGCTATTTCAAAAATAACCTCGTTTCATATAATTAAACCTCTTATTTCATTCTGTACATTTAATCTGTAATTCAGTAAATAGTTTTGCATTTAAATCATGCAAATGATATTAACAAGATTTAGATCATCTTTGTAAGGTTAACGTCCTCGTAACG